CTGTCTGATGTTGTGTTCTTATGTGTAATCTGTCTAAGTATTTTAGCTGTAGATAGTATGAAACCTAATACATTAAAGAGACATCTTGAAACCAAACATCCGAAGTTTATAAAAAAACCAAAAGTTTTTTTTTTGTTAGAAAGCTTAGTGGTTTAAAGTCCACCCAACAGAAATTTGCTAAAACAACAAATGTGACTTCTAAGGCCCTTTTAGCCTCTTACCAGGTTTCTCATAGAATTGATAAATGCAAGAAACCACACACAGTTGCAGAAACACTGATTTTACCAGCAGCGATTGACATAGTATCAACAATGTTGGGTGACTCTTCTGCTCAACAATTGAAATGACAGTTTGTAGAAGAATTTCATACTTTTCTGATGATTTACATCAGCATTTAATTGAGAAGTTGTGTAACAAGTGCTTTACACTTCAAGTGGACGAAGCGACTGATATTCATAAAGATGCTCATTTGATTGTGTATGTTCGTTTTGTTGGTGAGTGTAATATGCAAAAGGAATTGTTTTTCTGTGAGCCTATCTTGAAAACAGCAACAGCTCAAAGCCTTTTTGACATGATTAATCCTTTCTTTAATGAAAATGGGATATCATGGGATAAGCGCACTGGCATATGTAGAGATGGAGCTCGTTCAATGTCTGGAGTCCGTGCTGGATTACAAGCAAAAATTAAAGCTGTTACTCCCGAAGCAGTATGGACTCTGGCAGCTAAAGAACTCAGCCCACCCCTTCATGAAGCGCTGCAGACGGTTATAAAAACCGTCAATGTTTTCAAGGTAAATCCTCTGAAGTCTTAGACTTTTGAAAATGCTTTGTGAGGAAATGGGTGCCGAACACACTGCTCTGTTATTTTTTAGTGATGCTCGATGGCTTTCAAGAGGCAAGGTATTAAAGAGAATGTTTAAGCTGAGGCATGAGGTGTTGTTTTTTAAATGGGGAAGATCACTTACTGGCAGACAGTTTCAGCAACAAGGCTTTTTTATTGAAAATAGCTTACCTCACAGATATATTTGAGAAACTAAATATCCTCGATACTTCACTTCAAGGGAATGAGGCAACTGTACTTTCTTGGAATGACAAAGTGAAGGCATTCATTAGAAAATTAGAGCTCTGGAATAACAGTATGGAAAGTGACACGCTAGACATGTTCCCTACTCTGGTGTCAACGGTACAACACACTGATAATCCAGCGCTTCCAATGGACATAAAAAGCTGCCCACTTGATCATCTCATAATGTTGAAAGTTAATTTCGAAAAATACTTTTGTGATGATTTTCATGAATTTAATTGCATTAAAAATCCATTCGAAAATGCTCCTGGGCCATCATCTCTGAATGTAAATGAGCAAGAACTCATCCATCTCACTAGTGACACTTCATTAAAAAGTAAATTTAAGGAACTGTCTTTGTTGGAGTTCTGGATACATATTGGCAAGAAATTCCCATCTTTGAGCCAAAAAGCACTGAAGATCCTGATTCCTTTTGCAACAGCTTACTTATGCGAGACAGGCTTTTCTGTGTTGGCAGTTATAAAGTTATAAAGTATTGTTCAAGGCTAAATATTGCTAAAGAAGTTAGAGTGGCCATTTCTGATATTACACCACGTTTTGATAAACTTTGTTCTCAAAAGCAGGCCCATTCATCACACTGAACTTTGACATTTAAATGTTTGATTTTCTTTGCAGAAAAAAGTTAAATACTTGTTAGTTAAATATCGTTTCATTTCAATACATATTTTGGTTAATTGCAAGTGTTAAAACTAATTTTTATTGTGGGCCTAATATTGTGATACTTCAATTTTGAGTAAAAGACTGCTAAATGATATATAGAAAAACACAAAATAAACTGAATAAAATGTCAAACATACCATGACTTCTATTTTGATAAAAAAAAACAGGCTGGGGGCCTGAGAGTATTTTCTCTTGTCAGGGGGGTCTCAGAGGTAAAAAGTTTGAGAACCACTGCAATAAAGAATTACCAGGAAAAATGTTTCTGAGACTTTCAATCCACATAGTGACAACCTGTTTCAGTATCCATCCCAAGCCATTCTGTCTTCACACTCACAAGCCACGTTGGTATCACAACTCAAAATTGCAGTTTACATGATCAATCTAGGAACATTCATTATAGTTATACAATAATATATCTACAAAGCAAAGAGTGTGGTGTGTGTGTGTGTGTGTTTTTTTTTTGTTTTGCAAAAAAAATGGTTGGCTTAATGACATATAAAAATGGAAGTAACCTAACTCAGTTAATTCTAGTACTGTTTTCCCCTTAAAGCAGATGCATGCAGCACTCTTCAAGGGTGATAACAGTGCTTAAACTCAGGCCTTGAGTGATTCAAACTGTGAACACTGCTTCCTGGTAGGTCTTTTGAACAAAATTTGTAACTGCTTTGTTACTAAAGAGTTATAAAGAAACTTGTGACAATGCACACAAAACAATTCTTTAAGGACACTATAACAGAATATGAAATTCATGAAGTGTCGGTAGGGTAGTTCACTACTTTATGAACACTGCTCAATTTTAATCTCACAACTTGAAAGTTTTCCACTGTTATGGAGACAGATGCCTTGAAGATAAGGAAGGAATAAGGTTTTAGGATGCCTCAAAGGCACAACAGTTGCATCCAGTAATACCCAGTTACCTCGTGCATGTGTTGTAACGAGCGAGTGTGCAGTCTGGGTTCTGTACGACTGTTACATGTAGATGTGTAATGTGGAATAAGGTAACAAGATAACATTATTCAATTATTTGATAATGCTAATACCTTGCAGCGAACTAACCAATTCATCTTACCTCTGATGCTCCTTGAAGAGAAAACCGTACTACAACTTTTCATCGGCACTTACATATAGGCCGTCTAGAGAGGTAAGAGTAGAATACAATGTTGATATGCTGCATCAAGAAACAAGGTTTGTTCACCTATAAGCTACAGCACACCTGGTCAAGCAAAGAGCATGCCTTTACAGCATAGCAATGTGCTTGACCACATGTTATGGGCCTTAATACCTATACAACTTACATACTAGGCATTATATCTAGAAATATATTTACCTTCAGAGAGTATGTATCAGCAAAGGAATGTCAAAACGCATAGAGAAGAAGTGAATGAGAGTTTCTTAAATACAAACAATAAGTACAAATACAAAAGCAATTATTACAAGCCCAAAAAAAAAGTAAACGAGCACTTGGGGTTATTTGTCAATGCTCAAGTATTATATTTTAGTGTGAAAATGAATCTCTGCTTTAGAATCAAATCCAAGCTGGGTAAACAACTACTGTATGAAGGGATTTTAATAAAGGGCAGTCAGCAGGGTTGAAGATACTTCCAGGCGTTATCAATGAAAAGAAACAGGAATTCCAATAAACACTCAATCAAGTCCATATCAACCTGCTAAACGAGCTACCACACTGAGCATAGCCTGGAAGAATGCCGGGCAGAAAACAATGTTCAATGAAATAAATAAAACATAACAATTATGAATCCGGGTTCAAGTCAATGCAGACAATCATCATTCAGGCCCCAATCAATCTCATGTCAAACAAACCATCACGCATGATCCCAGCCACCAGATTTCTCTGCTTGCTTGCATAGCTAGAGCTTCCCCACTACTGCCTGCTAGCTTGCTAGGTTTGTTATACAATCAGTAACTGTGTTGTGAAGGGCACTGACCATCTTTTTGACATTGCTTTGCTGAGTTGCAGAATGGATAGGGAGATATGTTGGGGGGAAAAAATTATGGACCTGCCACATGAATGGATTAGTTTGGAAAGGTGATGTTACTGCTAGTATTACATATATGTAGAGGTGACAGGATAGAAAATCATGGTCCCATGCTTGAAGCGCAACTGATGTGGGCAGATCAATGCTTCTAAACAGTTACGATATGCAATGATATGCAACTGCACCAACATGAGATGTCCATCCAACTCCCTTTCAGGAGCCTGGAAACTGTTGTAAAATTTTTCTCCTTTCTGCCTGTATGAAATACTACCGTTGAAGTCAAGAAACTGTTTATTTGACAGTAATGCACCCAAGAAGAGAGACACAGGTACAGGAAATTGGAACTCTGTAAGCAGGGGCAACAGTTTGCCAACCATGCAATTCCATCAGCCCTGCAGTGGGTGGATACAGCCATGTACTGTCATGTGACAGAACACAATACTGGGTTGTATTGGCTAAATCAATTCAACTTCAAGTTTGCAGAATTAAAGAGATGCACCTTGAAGTCATGCTGCACTTTGCTGAATGCCAAGCCAAACACAAGGAAATGTAACATGTCACTATGTACATAGGAAAGTGTAATGAACCTTCTTTGATACACTAATGTACCATTTAATGCTCAACAATGGTAAATTTAAATTGGCAAGATCAGTTGCATAGCTACTACTTTTATTAACTACAGTGCTTTCTAAAGAACAGTGATGATGATGATGCATATGCAATATTATGCAGGCAAATATCATTAAAATGTTATCTAATAAACAGAATACCCATGATACACATGGAAATAATTCAGAATAGCAGAAATTTAGTAAACTTCAAGCCCATTATTCAAGTGTATTAATTTTCTGAATTCCACCTGTAAGAATGCTAGCCAAGTTCCCATGTTAACAAAAACTGACATCAAAACTATAAGCAAAGGGTGCTATCAAGACAATACCAAGGAAACACAAACACTGGAGCTCCTTATATCCAGAGGAAGGTGGGTACTTTCAAGTCCATCACACATTGCAACTGTTTTTGGTGTGGCATCCAGTTAGGTGCAAGCAGATTATTTCAGTCAATGGGTTATGCTTAGGCACTGAAGTGGAGTTTGGTTAGATTTCTCAACAAGTGAGTTAGGTTATGACAGAACATGGTTCATTAAACAAAATAAAATAAAAAGGGAGATGGAGAAAGAAAGGTGTTTTTGGTTTGTTACAGTTAAAAATGAGTGCTACCACAGAAAAATATGTTGTAAATCATAGAGACCATGCACACCTCTATCTTTCTTCCCTCAACCACGGTGCCGTGAAGTCTCTCTCGTGCGCGGTCCGCATCAGCACTATTTGCGAATGTTACAAAACCGAATCCCTGCATGCAGACAGACAAAACATGCATTAAAAAACTGGCGTCGCTCAAAAACAACGTGCAACAAAAATTAACATGTATGCATATATAGATTTGTATATATATATATATATATATATATAATAATGATAGTTATATATATTTGTAATTTAATGATACTTTTTCATAATAATAGGGATATGAAACATGATAAAGAGACTACTGTTATGTAATAGTCAGTATGAACAACATATTAACTTTCCATAAACTTACACGAGTCCACCACATATAAAAAATAAAGAATTCATTCAAAGCTAAGGTGCTGACTGCATTTGGAAATTCTGTCAACAGGGTCATTAGTCAAATTCAGAAATATGACTCCTCCTGTATGACAACAAGCTACATTCACCTACATAATTCGGACAGAACTAAAAATTCCTGTTTCAAGATGATTATAATGAATTTGACATCTGCAGCAGGGAGGGACAGACCATGAAGTGATATTCTTACTATGCTAAAGATCCAATATGGCTGTTTTGAATTTACATGAGCTAAAATGTAATGGTGGACTCAGTTAAAATCACTCTATTAATGGACTTTGATCAGATGCATGAACTTAGAAAATTATTAATTTTGAAAAATGGTAAAAAAATTAAGAGGTTGTGGTGAGCTACATAGCAATCACAGAACACACATCACTATGGGAGATAAGCGGAGGCATCAAATACGGCAATTTGCAAAGTGTGAACAAATCTGCCTGCATACATCCAAGCTATTGGATCGAAACAACACTGAGTCTATAACTTACGAGGTCAGTTTTGTTGAGAAAATGAACAATACTGACCACACGCAAAACACACAGCTGAATCGAGCCAATTTTAAAGTAGTGCATGCACCAATTTGAAACAAGTTTGCAAGTACCGTATTCAGCTGGCCGCATCATTCAACCAACCAACCAATCAACCAACCAACCGCAGTGAAACATTTTGTAAAAAGGTGTGGGCAGGTTGGACCAAGTTACATGTAATGGTTGTCCAAAGAGAGGCCAAGCCAATCAATCCTGTTTCATGCCGGAACATTATCACGGTCAGGCAAACCAACAATCGCCAAGGACTATGTATGTCATGACCTACTTCGGAATTCAATTTTTCCTTTTAGCACAGATTTGGTACATAGGAAGCTAAGAATATTGATTACTACTCTGGAGAGAAAGTTTCTTCACTCAATACAAGGCATTGTTGTAAATTTTAATGTGCTAAGCATGGTAATTAAATAAGGTCATGCAGACAAGGAACTTATACATATGTTTCCTCAATCTCCTTACTACCTTCATCTACCTACAACTAGACTCACCTAAAAATTAATTTCAAATTGAAGTACAGTACATACGATTTACAACAGAAATTACATAAATGTTACAAATCAAGTTTGAATATATTCTTCATGTTCTCAACATGCAAGATTGCATTAACTCTAAACTTTGTGCAAAGAACATATCACAAATACAATTTTGTTTGTGGGAAAGTCAAGCATTTTCTACATTAATAGCTTGAAATAAGAATACTGAAAATATACTCAACTTCAAAGTTTGAGTTTTCATAGTATAACATAACAGGCAGTGTATCTGCATGACCTTAGGTTAATTACACATCCAAACTTGGGATTCAGACCACACAGACGGTTCATGTAGCATGAATAACTGTTCTAAGAACAGGTAATGAGGAGCTGATGTTACAAGCAGGAACTCTGCATAACATTATCACACAGTCTTGAAAATTATTTCAACCTAACTATCAAACAAAAGAGAGTTTCACAGTTAAAAGTAAGAAGATTAATGCATGTGCACATCTTACAAACCACTCTCATAGATCCAAGTCCATGAAGTGTCACTATATCCATGATGATCATATATATCTTATATGAAACCAAGAAAGAAATGGAAGAGAAACCACATTACAATGTTTTACCCCACTTGCAAAGCAAATATAAACATTCCACATAAACTAATTATGAACAGCATATAAAGTGAAGCTGACATATGGCATTAAGTTAACACATGCTGTCACAGTTCTGTGAGCCTTGGCATAGCTTATTTCTGCACCATCAACTCCCCAGTTACCCACTGTTATTAATAATGTGACAGTGAACTTATTTGATCCGTCTAAAGCTAAAGCTGGTGATAAAAGCACAAGACTGGGATGCTGAAAGAACTCATTTCTATGTACAATGAACATTACTGTGCCAAAAAGAGACGAACGCACAGACTGTACGGAACAGTACCAAGAATAAAAAAAAACTCTTATAATAAAAATGAATATTCACGAGCCACAATTAAAAAAATCATCTGCACTTGTCTGGCTAGCTGCAAACAAGTGTGTTTCAGACATGCTTCTTTTGAATTCCTTTTAATGTCTACAACTCACACACATTAGTGAAGAACCATCTGCACATTTTGGTTGCATGTGTGAATTTATATATATTCAACTCTCAAAACACTGATGTATCACTAAAATAGCAGCTGCAAATATGGCTTGGACAAAGTGAGAACACTACTAAAGAATCACTGCAGGTTACAATCAAATATTACACAAGAATGTCCCATGGTGCCAACAGTCAAAAATATGGTACGGTACGTCACAAGGAAAGCGCCAACACGAAGCAACAATCAGAGAGTCAGAAAAAGTCAGAATCAATCAAACCTCAAGTCAAATGGAAAAAGTGGATGGAATTTATCAGTTTGCTATTTTTCACATACAAAAACTTAAAAATACACATTCAGAGAGAACAGCATAATTGCCATACTTCAAACTCATATTCATTTCCATTTAAAGAACTGGTAAATTGGAAAAACTGTATGAATATTATGTATACGTAGAATAAAAAGTGGAAGAGGAGAGTAACAATCACAGGTCTGGTAAGGCAATCATGGTGCAAGCTCTTACAAACAAAAGAGTGAAGTTAGTTTACTATGGTACAATTCATTCCCAGGCTTCAACCCACAGCTACTTAGTGAACATATAGTTATCACTTTTTTCAAACCTATTAGTCTTCCCAAAGCTGGCCATCATCTCTCTCCTGTACCAAAGTAAACAAACAAACTCTTCAAAATTCACACTTTTTACAGCCATGCCCAACCAAAAAACTTCAAAATTATGCTACATTACTGTTTACTAGCCCAAATAATGCAATTAATACAATTAACTATGATTATGACTACCACCTTCAACATGGACTTGACCCAGAGAATTCACACAATTATATACATCCATGATACTGAGGAGTAGGCGGTGAGTGACAGAGTTCAATAGGGCACATTTTCTTGTTTCATGGACATCATAATATCACTAAGTGGTGTAGTTTTCCTCTTTGTCACTATTTATTCCAGTTATACCAAGAAATTTATGAAAGCTGAAGATTAGTATTAAGAACAGATTCTTAATTCTTAGCCATGCCTAACAGAAAAGTTTGTAGTAATTTTCAATGTGCACTGTTATATTTAGTACACAGAGCTTGTATTTAAAGTGGATTTAAATTAATTCATCTGTTAGTATGTGGGTATATGATAAAATTGTTCCAGTGCATAATTAAATTCCACACACTGAAGACATGCATCAGTACAGGCCTACATTTCTACACAGCCTTCCATCCTACACTTATAATAATTCACTTGTAACAGCATTTTATGTAATGCCACAGACAACATATGAAGCATAATTAGTAGTATATATCCATGTAAGCTAAATGATATAATGATACAAATTCCGTCCCAAGTGCATATATTATGTGTCCTTGATCTTGTTCACCTACACTACATGTTGCGGCCTCAGACGGCCAGCATCAGGTGTATAACACTCACGTCGCTGTCACACTGCACTCAGCCCAAAATTTAACATTTAAAACACTTTTCTTGTTATTATCAACCTCTACTTCGTTGATATTTGTCTGGATGTAGATTATTTTACACACGTTAATTTTGACGTACTTGTAGTAGCACTATAAAATCTTTAGTTCTAATTTTAAAATCCTTTAAAATTTTTTCTCTAAATTTTAAATTTAAAATTGTTAGGGTTACTCGCCCTATGTCTAAAGTGCTGCAGCGGCTAGTTCTTGTTTCCACACTGTACAGATGTTATAGTGTGTAGTCTTCCTGTCTGCGTGCCGCTGTTATTCTTTACTACGTGTGTTGTCAGATGTACTGTGTGCTGCAGCACTTTAGACATAGGGCGAGTAACCCTAACAATTTTAAATTTAAAATTTAGAGAAAAAATTTTAAAGGATTTTAAAATTAGAACTAAAGATTTTATAGTGCTACTACAGGTACATCAAAATTAACGTATAATCTACATCCAGACAAATATCAACGAAGTAGATGTTGATAATAACAAGAAAAGTGTTTTAAATGTTAAATTTTGGGCTGAGTGCAGTGTGACAGCGACGTGAGTGTTATACACCTGATGATGGCCGCCTGAGGCCGAAACATGTAGTGTAGGTGAACAAGATCAAGGACACATAATATGTTGTTTGCACTTGGGACGGAATTTGTATCATTATATCATTTATCGTATGGAGTGCAACAGGATGCTTAAATATAATATCCATGTAAGCGATAATTTAGAAACTGTATGCCAACAAATTTGAAACAATTATGGTAAAACCTTCATGGTAAATGTCCCTGAGCTTAAATATGCACCACGCCATGAAGGCGTAGGGGGGTGGACATATGCATCCACAATAAAACCGATCAAGGTGGTAACCATAAATATATGAACACTACTGTCCTCAACTTCTAACATATATTAACAATAATATTACAAAATGTATATGTTTTCTCATACATGTGGGCCTGATTGATAGCACTCCTTATTAATTCTCCTTGAGTTATAGCACTTACTTATGCACCAAAAGAATTCAGATCTATATTGCCACAGATATCAAATAAAGTACATATGAAATATTTCTCATGATACACAAAAACGGAACTAGCATTTTCTTAACAGCTTCAAAATTAAAATAGCATGAATCTATTACACATTAGCGATTTTACCCGAGAAGGTTTATGTATGAATATAATATAAAAGACTTTCAGTTAAAGGCAGCGTGTTTGACACCGGAATATTCAATGTTTTATTGCAATAAGCATATCTGTACCCATCAACACTCAATGAAGACAACCTGAGAAGCTGCTATGAAATGCTAGTACATGTAGAATTTTGAATCTGGTTAGTTTAAACTCAAGGAAAACTGACATTTCATTAACATATGGCACCAATATATCCACGTGTATATATGTAACTGAAAGAATTTTGAAATGATTCAAGGCAATACACATAATCCACTTCAGTGAATGTTTATATTAGAAACAGTTACAATGTTCAGAAAAAAGAAGTAAAATAAAAGTGCACTAATTAAGCACACAAAATAAGATTCTTACCTTGGAACCCCTTTCATTAAAAATTATTTCTACATCAAGAATTGGACCAAATTGCTGCAACAAAGAACACATAATTGTTATTTTAAAAATATACAATTAATTGTAGCATTTCATTTTTAACTGTCATATACTGCTGGTATGCATAATGAAGTTATGAACTGTAAATGCCATGTCGTCAGACTGCAATGTAACATCCTTGTTCAAACACAAGCCTTTGGAAACAATCTCAAAGTCTTGTCTAAATAGTATCCATATAATCATTTCATCTTCAGTGGGATGTTAGTATCACCTACCACACAGTTAGAAGGAATGTATTAAATGAAATTCAAGATGTCACTAAACATGACAATACAGTAGCGTGCAACTCTTTGAATGTTTATACATTTCAGACTTCTGAGTGCATCACATTTATATGTTTCTGGCTGTTTCTATGTAAAGTCATGTTGGAGCAGTGACAATATTTTCATAAAATCAGCACATTCTGAGTGGCTGGTCCATACTTAGTACCAAATGGAAATTTCCTACAAAAGTTCAGTGAAAAACCAAACAGCTGAAGACTTCTTAGTGCTCCTGTATGTTCTGGAATCTAATAATTAAAGTTCTCTAACTTTCTAATTGTTACACCAGAAAGTGCAAGTTTTCATAGGTCTGTTTTAATTCAGTGTAAATTTCTTTATTTATGGACTTCATGTACTATGTGCTGTTTAAATAGAGAACAAATTTCAAGTTCTCTTTCCTCTTGGTTGTGACCAAACTGACACAGAGAGCAGCAAGAAACCCAATAAAGTTGTAATTTAAGGCCTATGATCTCAGAGAATCTTGCAAATCTCACCTTAATATTGATCATAATTATCTTGTATGAACAGTTGTATCTTTAATATGTGTAACATGACCATCATATATTTGAGGTTGTGCCAGTGTGTTTGGAAGGCCCTACATTTGTGAACAAGCTTTCTCACTGATGGGGGGGATGAAAAAATCAATTCCTAGAACCATTTACAGAGGAAAACCTCATGTCAACCATCAGACTGGTCACAAGAAGCACCATACCTGATATAAAACACTTAGCATCAATAGTACGGCAGTAGCACTGACACTGCCTTTCAGACAAATCTGCTATATAAATAAATATTTCTAAAAGTTCCATTCAGTTTTCATTACAAAAGTAATTTTGGTATCTCTCACAGGAATCAGAAATGATAATTGTTTTTCTTCTCAATAATTTTCTGTCTCATAAACTCAGTTGCTGTTAGTCATTAGAAATTACTTCATTGATATAACTCCTAGTCAAGGGCAATATGACCCTGTGAAATAGACTGTTCCTCCCTGCAACAAGCCTATAAAACTATCACCAACAGTGTGGCATAAGAATACATTTGGGGATGCCTTTACATATTAGTCACTACACGCACCTATTATAAACACGTAATGTAATAAATGACAATACAATCAAGTAGTCTGGAAGGTTGACACCAACATCTTTCTCTGATATGTTGGTATCCATCTGTCAGACTACCCATAAGACCACACAAATACATCTTCACCACCATGAAAACCTCAAATTTCCAACTGGCATAGGTAATTCTGTGATTTTAAATTATAAACTAACTGCAGCACATGGGTGTGGTGTTCCTCAGACAGAAAAGTGAATGGACTATCCTCAGAGCAAACTGCACACTCCTTGAAGAAGTGTGAACCACTTGCAATGCTTGGATGGCAACGACAGGGTGCCCCCTTGCTGGTACCATTCACATACTCTGCATTAAAAAATTCCATCTTGCATCCTTACATGACAATGGCAAAATACGTTCAATTTTCTAATTAGACAACTCCCTGCATACAGTGTAACCCTATATAAATGTTTCAGTGTGTACACTGCAAAACAAATACTCTCTTTGGAATTCATAACATAAATCCTGAAATTTCATACCAAAAAATCCTAGTCAAATGGCCAGAATATTGAAAACTGAAATTATGAAGGCAGAAAAAACAAAATCATCTTCCAGCTACAGATGGATGTAACACTATTCTGACCTTCTTGTCTTGTTCATTACCAATATAAACACAACAGGTTCTGAACTAAGCTTACCCCAAACATAGCCCGAAGATCTGGATCTCGAAACCGGAATGGGATATTTGAGACATGGAGTCTCTTGGGTTGATTCTTCCCTGGTTCACTTGGAAGGGCTACTGTAGTCACATTCACTGCCGGGGCTCCCTGTGTTGTTGGTGCTTCTGCTTGCGGCTCTGTTTGCTAAAATAGGAAGAAAAACAACTGTTAACACTCCCTTGTTCAGACACTGGGATTACCAACACAATGCCCTGAAAAGTCTGGAAAGCAATGACACTGACTTCAATAAGCAAGAAATCTGAGTACAATGCAACAGTCACCATGTAAATGGAAGTAGAAATAAAACAAAGATCCGGAACTACGAATTACATTACAACATAAACAAAGTAAAGCTATCCCTGTAACAGGACTTACACTCCGGCCGCCCTCTATCCCCAGTAAGATTCCTAGTACTCGTAACATTGTCTACTTTTATATTCAAAATTTTCCAAGTTTGAGCAATATTTGATGCTTCACTTTCCATATCACTGATAGCATGATTTAGTGACCAACGACAAAATTCCTACCCATCATTATCTAATAATAAATATGCCTAATAAACTAAACTTAAAATAAAAATTAGAATTTTAACGCCAGCACATAAGGCTGACAACCTGACCACCAACTTCGAGCCGATTGTCTAGATAACGTGGAACCCTCAACCTCTCACAACCATATGGGCCTTCACGGCCTATTACAGGGATAGCTTTACTTTTACTCCTTGGAGAAGAGTTGCTCACTGTCAGCTGGTCAAGAGACTCCCATATCTTACAGTTTTCAAAGGATTAATTTTGTGCTCACAAGATGGCCACTCCTCAGCCAACTGAATCCAGTCTACACCACCACACCTTAGCTCCTCAATGACTAATTTTCTCAATCCTCCTAATATTTCCTCTTTCTTATGGGCAAATATTCTCTGATGCACCGCGTTTTAAAAAACTGCTCAACCTATCACATATTCGGCTTAAGTGAACAGCCCAGCCTCCCACCCATACCAAGCAGCATCTCAAATCACATGAGATTTGAGGTTTTTCTCTGAGGCAAATCTTAAGCTCACAAGCTTCAGAAATGTGGGGCCACAGTCTGGTAGATTACTACCATGTTTCAGAGAAACATGTGTCCCCATTTTCAGAACAGATGAGGTAGCACGTTCATGCAAGGCACTGCTACCAACCAGACTGCACGGCGCCGCTCTCCGAAATCATGTAACCGCATTAAACAATTGAATTACTCATACATACTTCAATCTTTAGGTTTTTTTGAAAGGAGATGGAGAAACAAAAGATTCTAAACTGAATTACATCACTGCAAGCATTCCCTACGTTTAAACTGTTCTGAACGTCTTGTTTCATGCACTTTTGATTTTGTGACTCTCGTTCCAGAATACCTTAATACTAACAACAGATACATAGAACTATAAATCTACGTAACTGGAAACTTGGCTTTATGAGTTCTGCTTCGAACTCCTTGTTTTAACTTGAGATCAACCCACAGTCTCTGCAATTCTTACCAGGCAGGAGGCAAAATATAAACCATTACATTTTTTTCGCTTACTCAAAAGTTTGCAAGAAAAAATCTCCTATAAGAGACGTACATTGAAATAAGGTGCCTGACAGGGTTGGTTATATCACATGACCAAGAGAGAAGGGGTGGACGCGGATCAATACCTCCCTCTCCGTGACTTCTCCAGCTGGACTGCAGATGAATGGACTAGTAGGGAGCCCGTCCCCAGCACACGACAACAATTCTGCATTACTGTGCAAGTTCAGTGTTCAGTGGCAATTCCCTTGTCCAGTCTAAATTTGTTAAAAATGTGTTCATACAGTTATTCATAATGCAGTCCATTGACATTGATTTATTATATGAAAAAAAAAACTCGCACGAGAACTGCATCTATCATCAGTGACGAACACAGGCTGTTGGTGTAACATTATAACGTCTCCAGAGCTGCGTGTAACATTCTAATAACGCCCCATACGCTGTTTCTGCAGTTCAGAAAACCTCTCTCGGAGTTGCAGTATTTCGGAATGAACACGGCACCGCAGCCGCACAGAAAAGCTGCTCCACCACTAGAACCGTCTCTAGCGCTCTTGCAGCCTCAGGAAACACATCACACGCTCAGCACTGCATCCCAACTTGCTTAAAACGCGAGAGTAAATTAATACATCCACCACCGCTCCGGCAACCTAGACACTTCCAGAGTTCCAGATAGTCTCACTCCAATGTTGAATCACATTAGAAACGCCCCGTTAACTGTCCTAGCGCAATAGAAATGCCTCTCCCAACATGGTAACACAAAACCGCTGTTATGGTACTTAACGGAACATTAATACGCCTTCGGAGAAATGGCCTGACATATTCCTGAAACTTTCCGACGTAGTTCAATAAAATCGCTTCGACACCGCCGACGCACACCCGAGACCATTCGTACCTTGGCACTATTCCAAAAATAAATCGCCTCTGCGTCGTCATGACAAATCAGAAATGTTCCGTTTATCGTCGCCCATCACAAAGTGTGCGCGCCAGAAACCCTTCCTCCGGCCTCAACAACACTTTGTTCACAGTTCCCGCGGAGGATAGGAAACATTTTCTTGATAGCAGTATGGTAATAGAAGGGCCGTGCCATAGCTCAAGTGGTTTGTCGCTGGCTTCCCACTGCGGCGGCCCGGGCTCGATCCCGGGTCTGTTCAAGTGGGATTTGTGGTGGACAAAGTGGCGCTGGGGCAGGTTTTCTCCGAGTACTTCAGTTTCCCCTGCCAATCTTCATTCCACCAATTGCTCCACAATCACCCTCACCTATCATCTTGGGCTGGTACAATAGGCCAAAAGTGGCAGCAGTACAAGGGACTTAGTCCCACCCCACTAGCAATAAAAAAATGGTAATAGAAATTCCACGTACAGCACGAGAGCACAGCATACACGCCTTATATGTCCCACAATATTCCTAGGCATATCGTGAATGGCAGTCTGTGAAACCCACATTTGAACACGTAATATGGTTGCTAGCAAAATCCGGAGTACCTCTGCACAACTTGATGTCGCTATCCTGAGATAGAACTTCGGCCTCAACAATCACAACGCGATACAAAATGAGACGAACAAACTCCGGCTACCAATGTGCTGTGTAAAGCAATTTCCTACAGGCCGGACCCCTTAGAAGGACATTAAGAATAACACAACACGAAGAGCAATAAATCTGAACTGAAAGTTAACTGTGTGATACAATGACGTCAAAATATCCGATGCCGACATAAACCTGTTACGTTCACAGTTTCTCCTCCCGCTACACAGTTTCAGAATCGTTTTTCCCATATGTTCCGTGTGTCAAGTTAGACATATAATTACAGTATAAATATTGTAACATCCAATATTTTAAAGCCCCGCAGTCCAGTTTAAAACGACCATGTGAACACTGGAGCATGTGCACAACTTTACATTAACATTATAGTCACCAAAAAGTCAAAGAAGTCAGGACTTACATTTACGAAAGCAGAAAAAAATCTGGAAGAAAAGAACGGCCATTTTCAATGTGCATACTCAGATCTACTGCAGGACATCTCCTTTCATACCGAACTAAGCAACTTCCTGCAGTAGGGGCCGAGCCAACCGTGACAGCTTATGGAAACCAGTCTACTCTTAAATTAGATGTTCAGTATATTTGCACAAGGCAGAACAGACCTGTTCAGGCTTCTGCGTTGAAGCGCTTGTTGTATCGTGAGGAACTCATTCCTCCATCTTACATTCTGAACACGAATGGGTTGCCAGTTTATTCCAAAGCAATATAAACAGCGTCGTCAAGACTTCAGAACTCATACAAAACAAACTTTAAAGATCATTTAACGTCAAAACACAGATCTGCTGTTCCTCAATACATACAAATGAATACTTTCACATTATTTTTTATTGCTAGTGGGGTGGGACTAAGTCCCTTGTACTGCGGTCACTTCTGGCCTATTGTACCAGCCCCACATTATAAGTCAGGGTGATTGTGGAGCAACTGGTGGAATGAAGACTGGCAGGGGAAACCGAAGTACTCACCATTTTCTCCACCACAAATCCCACCTGACCAGACCCGGGATCGAACCCGGGCCGCCGCTGTGGGAAGCCAGTGACTAACCGCTTGAGCTATGGCGCGGCCATACTTTCATATTAAATCACAGGAGTATAAAGGTCCATTACTACAGACAATATAGACATATTTGCAGATATAAACAAACTGGAAAATGCTTAGACTATGCCTCTGACAACAACAAGCCTTATCACGAGTTCCACAACGAATTACCAGTTGTAAGCGTTCCTGCACAAGTGAATGCACAATTAACACTCTAAAATACTTCGAAGTTCGGATGAATTTAATTTTGGTCCGCATCGATCCAGCAAAGCCGCCACTTTACATTAATCTCAAATCTATGTCGTCACATGAAGAAACTGCAATGTAACGCAAATTACAAACCTCCTTTAAGTCTACAATTTTAAAGGAAACTTGTTTTGACAAGGCTAAAAGTTAAAGAAATACAAAAAAGAAAAAAAAGGTAAAGCTGTCCCTGTGCTTAACTAATTAAGGTGTATGGGGGAGTGATGTACAGATCCATGTATGCTTTGCCTCGGTATTAGTGAGCGGTCAGCTCCACACCCCGGCCGCTTTATCCCGGGAAAGAGCCCCCGGTACCCATTTGATAGAAGGCTGGGTGCGCCTCAGAACCGGTCTGGACGCTGTGGACAAGAGAAAAATCTTGTTCCCAACGGGACTAGAACTCCAAACCCTCTGCCGTCCAGCCCATAACCGGTATCTATATCAACTGCGCTATCCCGGCTCCTTTAAGGAAATTTTAAGACTGACAGTTATAAGCATGGACTGCCAAGCTATAACTGTACCAGGGCGTGGAGGCCCATACGGTTGTGAGATGTTCGGGGTCCCACATTATCTAGACAATCGGCTCACAGATGGCGGCAAGGCTGTCAGTCTTACGCGCCGGCCGCCCTTTACCTCCCAGGAATGTTCCTGGTACTCATTTCCGGATTTCAATGCACGACGACCTTACAAACGATGAAATGAAGACGTGACCTTGCCGCCTGCTACGTCCGTTGTTGCCGCAGTAATTAATTAAAGCCACAGACAGAGCATCTGTTAAACGGATCGCTTC